GGGGGTGGGTGGGGGGGGGGGGGGGGGGGGGGGGGGGGTGTGCGCAAGTCGTACAATGACTCTCTCTCCTACTTTCAAGAACGGAGCCGACTGTTGCAAAGGCCAGAGAGAAAGTGCGAGCGTGAGACGGGCACCGCAATCCGCGGATGTCTTCCACGAACTGTTTCTCGGGAATTCCCGAGCTGTCAGCAGCCCTCTCAACGATATAAAGCAGCAGTACCTCCATATCGTTCTCGAGAATGACCTGTGGAAGACTTCCCCGAACTTCGGGTCGGTCTAGGCCATGGGTGTCATACTGCCGGTCGACTATTTGATTTCGTCCGGTCTGCAAAGTCCTCTTCAACTGCTGGTTTTGAAAAAGCGTAGATTATTTCAACCTGTTAGCAATTGTAACTTTGGTGCAAGATGTGCGAATGTGGGCCCAACCACATCTGAAGGGTTCCATCCGGCCGCCAGCCGGATGTTTTCAAGTTTGGCATTTCTGGCTTAGGCTAAGCGTGTAACATAGTGAGGGTCGTCAAAATGAATTGTGAGGACTGGGGTAAGGGCCTCACGTAAAGGTCTCCTTTCCACTCTTCCCCTCTCCCTGCCGCTTCAAACACACTCACTCAATGTGTTTGAACCTTTCATTGCGAACGAACGCTACGCTAACAACAGTGCATACATCATCCGGTGTGGCCGGTCCCCCCCCCCCCCTAGGCAAAGGACACGGGGCAAATTGTACATTTTGCCCCCCCCCCCCTTCTCTCTACGGTCCCGAACATAGTCGGGAATCCAGGAGTTCAGTCAGCACTTGAACACTACGCGGCAGCCTCTCTCTCTCCCGTACTCGAGAATGAATCCGACAGTCGCGAAGACTCGAAAGAAACTGCGGGCTCGAGAGCGAGGAGACCCCCAACCCTTGGAAGACATCCATTAATTCTGGGTCGGCCTAGGCTAATTTTTGGATATTCACGAGTTCAGTCAGCGGCCCCATGAACGCTCTGTGCAGCAGCCGCTCTGACACTGTACGTCTTGCGCATCCCCCTCCCTCTCATTCACGGGGGTGTTCAGGCCTACGATACGGACTTTTATCGAGCGGCACTCTTATCCCGTATCGATCGCGACGATGTGCGTATCGTCGATGAAGTCCATCTCCACCACTTTCCATGTAGGCCCATGAGTGAAATATACGCAAGAGAAACGGGATGGTTACGACGCGGCCGACGGCGTCTTTCCGATCCAAAGGTTTCTGTTCCATGCAGGTGGGATCCCGCCGTTTTCACCCTCGGAAGTCACTCTCCTTGTGAGAATGCCGATCGATAAAAGGACGGGGTTATTGATGAAAGGGTGGAGATCCCGATAAATATATGATCTGATGATGAAATGTATGATAATGAGATCTCATCCCGGCGAGGAAGTCATCCTTCATTAAGGGATGGAAGGGGACTCCAAGTGTAATACTCGGGGACGTTTTACACGTCCCTGCTGAAAAGTCCGTATCGGACCCCGTGTCCGTACCGGGAGCGCGGGGTGTGGGTAGAATGCATTTCTCCCGTTGTAGTATTAGGGATGGCATGGAAAGGAATACCCAGTCGTATTTGGTTCTGTGATGTAGATAATTCTTGTCTGCTAATTAGGAGGCCCCGGGATCGATTCCCGCCACTCCATTGTTTTTCTTTCGTCATGCCATCTGAACCCCCCCCTCGGGTTATTACTTTCTCCAGAATGGATCCGACAACCGCAATGGCCGGAGGGAAAGTGCGAGCCCAAGAGAGTGAGACAGACCCAGTGCCGGGCAGAAGAAGGCGCCGCGCATGCGCACATGACACTGCGAACATACAGACGTCCAAGCATAATATATAGTACAGTCTAGATGGAAGCACAGATTGACATTTTTCGACGATAATTAGCCCCCCCCCCCCTCCTACTACTCATTCATGTAGACGCTATGACTTCCAGTGACGCGCTGTCTTCCATCTGCGAAGGTCTCGGTGTGCACCGAGTTTCATCTGTCGCTGGCGAGAACTGCATAAGACATGGAAGGAATCGGTTGGAGATCCGTTTCTTCTGGTGGCTGGTGATCTTAACAGACCGAGAAGAAAGCATCGATCCGAAACAGGAATATTCACTCCAACTAATTAGATACTCTTGCAGTCGCCACCTTGCGCTCTGGGAGTGCGGAGGTAGCGACCAAAGACCTTACACTAAGAAGACTGGGCACTCTGTGGCGGCGCCTTTGATGTCCGGGAAACCTCCTGCCCTGGTGTTTGGCCCCGGAACTACGCAGAACTGACCAATGGGATCTTTGGATTGGAATGTCGCGTGAAACATGGCTGCCTTTGGATGCAAGTACTGCGCCTACCATGCCAGGAGAAATTTGGCCAAATGGATGGAGATGTTCCGCTGCATCGGTTTCCCATGGATCCGGAAAGGCATGCGTTCGCCTAGGGCTTTGCACTAGGCCTATAGTCATGGTTTTACATATATGTAACAGGCGAATGAAGTAAAATGCTGAGTAGCCTCAATAACCCTAGCGAAAAGGTCAACATTTTTGAGTCTCGGGTTGACAGGCCTGTTAGAATGGGATAGCTTCAATTTTGAAGGGACAAAAAGAGGCTGTGGATAATTATCTTGCAGGTTCGCTTTGGATTTACAGCCGTACTAGAGCGGCCTGCGGCCGACATGCTGGCCGAGTAATAGATTAAAAGTACACCAAGATTTTTATGGCCTAGAATGGCATAGCCTTGTAGGCCTTGCGTGTTGGGCCGCAGGTGGGTGACAGCCATTCACTACCCCTTTCGGCCTCTTTCAGTTTTTATAGCCTAGCCTCCTATGGCCCAGAATGGAAGAGCCTTGAAGGCCTGGCGCTTTAGGCCTTGGATGATCTGGAATGACTTAGCGTCGTAGGCCTTGCGCGTTAGGAGCGACGGCCGCCACAACGTTCGGTCTCTTCCATTTAAAGTATTAGATATCAGATTAGATTAGGTGTTCTTGAGGTCCATTTGGGTTACAGCTGGCTACTACTCGCACACATTGTTGCTGGCAGCTAAGCCAAAATGTTCTCGGCAAAAGATGAGATTGCCATTGGGATTCAGAGATCTCCAGTTCATGAAAATAATGCAGTTCGTAAATTGACAAAAAATAAACTGATTCAGTGTTACATACTGTAGGTAACCTACGCAGCATGTATCGTCTTGCAATTCTGCCTAAATTCAAGAATCCTAGCCCCCCCCGGAGAGATTCTCCGAACATGTTTTCCCAACTCCTCTTCATGGTTTTCCGCCAGACATGTCAAAGTCAGTGCGCGTTATCCTTACCGCAGTCTGAAGCCCGCGCTTAAGCAAGTTCTCTGTGATCGCGAGACGAGGTCCTTCGCAACTGCAATCAAGCTCCCGGTTGGTGGTCCCGTATCTGGCGGTAACCAGTTACCCTGCTTTCGCGCAGAGTGTCCAGTCTTCTTAGTATAAGGTCTTTGGTAGCGACCTCCTGCTGAAATACTTAACCCATCCGCATCAAGTGACTTGTAGGACTGTTTGACCTAGAATATTCTGCTACTGTCGTTTGAAGCGAGAGACCTTCAAGCCTATGCCTTTCCAGGCCATAGGCTTGGTGGAAGGACTTCAGACGATGCATATCTGTTCGTTGTTTGGTGCAGGTGGGTTTCCAAGTCGAGCTGTATAAGTGCTCCTTTGTTCCATTTTTCTTCGTCTTTTCTGCGTCTTTCACTTAAGCATGCCGTCCGAATTATTCAGGTTAATAATTTTTTTAAATTCCTACTTACTGTATATCTGTTTGGTTGTGGAAACATGGAGTTCTGCTTTTCTGCGTTTACTTTTCCGCGCCGTAGCCTTCTTAAAATGGCTTTGAAAAGAGAAATAAAAAGAATGGAGGCATCCGTATGGGCTGACTTGTTGTCGTCGAGAACGCAGTGAGCAGCTGTGAGGATCCATTGCTCGCTGATGATCGAGGCGCTGCAGCTCGCACTCGAGCCGTCGCTATAGGTCATTCTTATGTAGGCCATGAAGGGGGCTTCCGTGATGGTGGCCGGAGACCCGTTGTAGATCAGGTCGTTCTGTCTCCCCAGAACGAGGCTTCTCATCACGGGCCCCAGGAAGCCGTTCCACACCCAATGGAGCCAGGTTCGTCTCGTCGAGACTGCAGTCGACTGTCCGCACGTCGTCGTGGTCGCCACTGAACATGGAGGATGTCGATGATCTCCCAGATTTCATTGTGGGGAAATTTGTATGCATTGCTAGCTGCCTAATTACAAATTCGGGAGCAAGTTCGGGAAATCATTTCTCGTTAGTCTGAGTAAAAGAGCATGTGTTTTTGGCGATAATAATGTGCAAGAAGTAATGCGAAAACCAATTTTCAATTGCTTTCCCTTTCTTCAATCACCTGGTCTAACAACCGAAAAGCCACAGAAACGCCGCAGCTGCCGCACATACGCCGACTTATGGCCACACATGCGCTGCTGGTTTGGTATTGAGAAAATACGAAGTCTGATCAAAAAGCTCTAAGACTTAATTTTTTATGACGCTGTGGTGACACTAGTCCTCTTCGGCATCTACACCAACTTTCCGGTGTTTCTTCAGCCGCTGGAAGCATTGCTGACACTCCTCTTTTGGAATCACCAGCAGCGCTCGCGGCGCGTTCACAATTTTGCTTTGAATGTCTAAAATCTCCTTCATTTCAGCACTTTATTTAGTTTAGGGAACAAAAATAAATTACTAGGAGCTAAACCCCGACGAGTTGGATGGCTGATGAAGCACGGGATTGTGGGGTCGGTCAGAAACTGCTGAAATTGCAAAAGAAAGGAAATCTCAGAACATTTAAAACAACATTACGAACGCGCCGCGAGCGCTGTTGATGACTCCAAAATATGAGTGTCAGCAATGCCTCCAGTGGCTGAAGAAACTCCGGAAAATTGTGTAGATGTGTAGATGCCGAAGAGGACTTGTTTAAAGGATATAACCATCAGCAGTCAGAAAGAGTCACCACAGCGTCATAAAAAATTAAGTCTTAGAACTTTTTGATCAGACCTCGTATACCTTTGACATTCATCCTAAAATTGTCGAAACTTCACCCCCCTCCCAAAGTTGATCGGTTAGATTCCATGAGACTTCATATGAAAGCCCATTCTAACGTCACCAACACGGTAGTCGCCATGTATCCAAGGTCGCCATCAACATTTCACGACTCCCTCACGGCCTAACCATGGGAGCTTGGAGGCTGCCATGCTCCCGGTGCATGGCATCACGTATATC